ATTGTTTAGTGGACCCCTATCACAGGCATCTCTGTGAAGTTAAAAAAAAATGACCCATTGCAACTCATGCTCCTTTCCTTTTCTTAGAATTTATAGTAAACCAGGACCTTAGAAGGAACAAATTATTTTGGATTATAATTTCCTCAAAATCTTCATTAAAGGATGGGCTGTGTCCCATGTTACAAAGGTAATTCATTGTATTTTATTTCTTTTTGGGGTGGGGGTTGAGACAGGGTCTCACTATGTAATTGAGACTGAGCTGGAACTCACTATGTAGCCCAGGCTGGTCTGAAACTCACAGCAATCCTCTTGCCTCAGCCTCCCAGGTGCTGGAACTACAGGCATGCACCACCACGCCCAGCTCATTGTATTTTAAATGCCTCAAAATTAGGGACTTCATAGGTAGTGGTACCTCTCTTTAAGAGGGAGGAGCTATATTTCATGTCATCTGAGGAATATTCATTCCTGGCCACAGTCCTAGCATACTGTGCATTCTGATGTTAATTATCATTCATATGACATAGTTCCTCATTTTCTCTTGCCCTTCGCTTAGCTAGCTGCCCCACTCATATTCTACAATTCCGTATCAGAGCCCCAAATATGTGAATTTAACATTAACAAATGAGAAAGGAAAGATTGTAGAAAAAGAGTACAAAGTTGTAATATACCAATTCCATGAGGAAGACCACAAAGGAAAGACAGATAGTAAAATAAGGTTATTAAACATCACCATAAGCTGACAGGTCTGTATAGAGTTAAATATAATTCTCCAAAAAATAGCAACAGAAGACACTTTTTAAAAATTTCTATATTTTTATTGGTACATTTTAGATATACAATACAGGTACATTCAAAATTGGGATGTTGTACCTTTACGTAACATATCTTGGTTCTTATTTTTCCCCATCCCCCTGGCCTCCCTTCACCTCTCCACCCTTCCCTATTTACAAAGACTGTTTCCATTTTCTTTTCATTTTTCTCTTATTTTTCTTTTCCCTTCTTACCTTTCCCCTACCCCTCCCACTTCCCCTACACCTTTAGACCTTTTCTTCCTGTTACATAATATCAATTTTTACAATTTGATCCTTATTTACACTTTTAGTTTTTCACGCCAGAGAAAACTATATGGTATTTACACACGTGGGTCCTATTAATTTCACTTAAGAGTATGTCATCAATGTGCATCCACTTAGCTATAAATGTCTCTAGTAGTATATAT